TGCCGTGGGAACGAGAAAGTGCAGAGAGAAACAGGAAATTTGAAGCGGTTTAAAGGGACTGAGCTCAAGTTATGTGCAGACCGCCTCAGGTTACAGTAAGCAGGATTGTCATCGGGCGCGAGGTTGGATTGGAGCACGACTGCAGGGTCCTTAAGGAGAACACTTTTATCATGTCTGTTTGTTCGAGTCACCATGTTTCCTTTTCTATGGGTATTCATTGTGGCCTCCCATTCAGCTGAAACGCAGAACCTCTGAGTGTGTGTTCATTTTGCCTGTGAATACGTGGTATTCACAAACGAGTCAGATTTCCAGGTTCAGGTAATTAGGAAGTTTTCATTGCTTTTAACGGCGCTATTTCAATTATTCAAAGGTGAGCTCTATATTTGTTTCGTTTTGAGTTCCTCGAGGATGTCAAATTCACTTTTTCTGCTACAAGGCGTATTCTACTCGCATCCCCATTATTATAATTCGCTAAGAAGGAAGAAAAGCATCAGACACGTGAATGCAGTCTCAATTGCGAAAGCCTGGCAAAGTGCCAGCGTGCCAAGAATCCATGCGTGTGTCCCGCCGCGAAAAAGATACGGTAGTTTTTCGAATAATTCCGGTCCTACACTTAGTGGCTTATCTCCTTGGGACCTCCCCGTGTAATAAAAAAGATGCATCTTATAATGTGTTTGGGAGCGTCAGTGCTATCGTGTGAACTTTACTCGTTGTCAGATACTCATTTGAGGGAAGCTCGCAATAGTTGCTGTCTCTTTTTGTGCTGAATAAATAGTGCCCTAATACTGCACCAGCACTATAATGACAGCGGCTCCATTTCTGGTTGAAGACTTTCCTTATACTCACTTCTACTCTACCACTCGATGTCAAGACGAAAGAAAGCATAAATGAAATTTGTATGATGTACCCGTCCATCCTTGAACAACGCGGTATATGCAAGCACCCTCGTATTGTACTGGCGCAAAGTTCGGTGTTATACGTCCACTGCGGATTTACAATTAACTGGGCGCCGCTTTGGGTTACGGTACCGTGGCGGTAATACTGAATTTAGCTTATTCTGGTAAATCGGAAAGTGGAACCCTCACTCACTACCACGAAAGTACGTATTTCAAGGGATCTTTTCTAGTTTTTTTTTTTGTTGATGAACTAGTTAAAAATAGCCGGCAGCAATGATTGCCAACCAGCTCTCTTTTTCTTCACGATTGATAAGATCCTTCGAGACTTGTCAGTAAGAGGATTTAACTAAGAACTAGTGGCTAAATTGTCAGTTTGATGTCTCCCTCCCCCCCCCCGCTCTAAGTCGTTAGGAATACATGCACTTGATCCCGTTACCTCTGTTGATTACTGCTTTCGCTTCCAAGGTTCATTTCAACACCCCTCATTTCACTCTCATTCTTTTGCCGCCTCTTCTATTTTTAGATTTTGTGGACGTTGGCATCGAGGAGAGTTTTCATGATTCATGTCGTTACAAAATTATTTGTCCGGTTTTCAGAATGAATGGCATTCAGCTGTCAGAGGAGGCTGAAACTCGGAAGAGCTTGATATTAAGGAACTTGCAGGTACTAGTGCTTGTGTTATTGTTTTTTAGATTGCGGTCATACTATGCATCAGCGTTTTGAGTGTTTGTCAGCCTTCTGAGCGGTATTCGAGATTTTACTTTCTTAGCCCTCAACGCAAACGCTGGTGGTCGCTCAGAATGCTCGAAATACCGCTTCGCTGTTAAGCTAATAGTATCTTCAGTTCTCCTAGATGAAATATGCTATAACTACTATAGAAGCTGGTGCTAACGTATTTGGGGGGGGACCACGCGGCTCGCGGCGTGCGATGACTCATCTTCTGCTCCCTCCTCGGCAAAATAGAAGTAATTTTGTGTTTAGGACATGGATATAACACCGACCTAGCTATAAACGCTAAAAAGTCCGAAGAAACAGTTGTGGGCTGGAAGGTTTTTGAATCAACTACAAAATTTTGTTGCCTGTTTGTTGTTGACTGCTGAGCAAGTTCCCGGTGGACCTTGTTTGTTTTATTCTAATTTGACTGCTAGAATCGCGCTTCAAGTATGCCGATGAGTGAAGGAGTCTCTTTGGGAGTTTTTATTGTTGGAAGTATGAAATTGCGTTCATACCTGCGGCAACGTTTTGAACGTTCTGAGAGATTGAGAAAGTAAGGTACCGGTCGTCGCTGAAAAGGCTTATGGACGCTCGAAAATCTGACAGACGACAAAGCGCTGGTTTCGATACCTAACTTTCTTTTCAGTCTCTTAGAGCGCAGCACAAAGTATGAACGCACTCTAAGATTCCTGTTATTCACTGATAGGGAAGCATCTGTTGTACCCCTCCCCAACTACCGTTAGTTGTAGTATTGGCGCTGCATCCGTACCTCACATACGAGTACGAACATAGTTCAGGCAAAAGAGCCATCTATTAATGCATGATCATGCGTTTCTTTCCATTTTTTTTCATTTTTTCCCTTTTAAGGAAGCCCTGGGGGTTGACAAGCTCGAAAAGCAACTGTCAACAGATGGAAAAGTTGTGCATCTCTACTGGGGTACGGCAACGACTGGAAAACCTCATGTTGGATATTTCGTTCCAATGAGAAAGATCGCAGATTTTCTACAGGCTGGCCTGAAGGTTTCCCTTTTGTTTTCTTGTTTTTTTTCTCCATACCTTTTTCACCAAGGCCTTCTGTTTTTATGTGACCGTATTGTTTGCTGATCTTCACGCTTTCCTCGACAATATGAAGAGTACGTGGGAATTACTCGAAAATCGTGTCATCTACTACGAGAACATCATCAAAGCGCTTCTAATGGCACTGAATGTTCCAATTGAGCGACTTCATTTCGTGAAAGGGACCACATATCAGCTATCCAGGTCCATTCTTCTTCTTGATCGAAGCAATAGTATTTCTCACGAAGATTTCCATTTCTATGCTGTAACCGTTTCTCTAGAACCATTTTCCTTCAGAGAGTACACCTTCGATGTTCTCCGTTTGTGCAGCCAGGTATCACAACGGGATGCGCTCAAGGCTGGAGCTGAAGTCGTCAAACAGGTGCTCTACACTCTCCGGATGATAGATTTTTCTTAGACGACGTAATTCGACGCTAACGTAGTCGCAGGAAAGGGGATTCGGCCGAGTCTCTATGTCCCTTCCTCGTAACTAAATACAGACTCTGAGGGCAGATGAGCGGAGTCGCTGATAGTCTCCTAGAAAAGATGTATGTAGTCCCGCCGAGCCTGAGCCTAGCTCAGAAGGAGATGCATCAGGCACGTCATGCGGGAAGCTGGGGAAATGACGAAGTGGCTAAGTGGGATGGGGGATGAAGAAGAGCAGGGGGTCGTATCAGAAAAAGAAATTTCAAAGGCGGTCTTGTTTGACAAACCTTTCCCAATGATAGGACACCCTGGGGGACACAGAGGCGCTGTCAAGTGGTCCCCCAACTGCTATAGCGCCTCTAATTCAATGATGATTTAGGTGGAATCTCCGTTGTTGTCCGGTCTTCTCTACCCTTTGCTGCAAGCGCTTGATGAACAGTATCTGAAGGTTCCTTGAGTCGATTAATTACTCATTTTCTCATCATTCATTAGTAATTTCGTGCTTTGCGACCATATGAACCATGCTGGAACATCCACTGCGATGTTTTTTCCAAATTCTGTTAAGGTGGACGGCCAGTTCGGCGGTGTTGATCAACGCAAAATCTTCATCTTAGCAGAAGAGCAGTTACCAAAGTTGAAGCTTGGAAAACGATGGCATTTGATGAATCCAATGGTGCCCGGTTTGACCGGATCCAAGATGAGCAGGCATGATTTTAAAGAACGTTATTTATTCCGTGGAATGTTTTGGTCATTCTGAGAAACGCTTTCATGTCTTTCATTTAGCTCGGAGATTGACTCTAAAATTGATTTACTGGACAGTCGTGAAGTTGTCGAACGGAAGATTCTTGGTGCCTCTTGTTTACGACAAGAAGAAGACAACGGAGTTTTGGCCTTCTTCAACTATGTTCTCATCCCTATTGTCAGCCCTAACCCTTTGGTTGTTGCTGACAAGTAGGTTATCCTGCTCACTTTATCTGTGTTGGTGACCTAGAAGACTCGTTTTTAGAGAGTTCTTCTCCTATGAAGAAATCAAAGAATCGTTTCTGAGTGGTGCATTATCTGCTGAGGATTTGAAGAAAACACTCATTGAATTTCTGAATGAGTTACTTGCTAAGGTTGGTAGACTTTATTGGGAGCAAAATACTTTTCGAAAGGGTTTGTTCAGGTGCAAGATCATTGTAAATCCGATGTTGTGCGTGATGCTCTTGAGAAAGGCTACAAAAATGTGGACGAACATGTGGCTGAGTCGACGCAACATCCAGTTGTGCAGATCACCGACCAACAGCTTAGTACTGTTCAGCAGATTATTGGCGGCGACAAGGTGATCATTTTGGCTTTTATTTAGACCTGTTGGTGGTAACGTGGTTGAGTGAGGATATGCGGGAGTGCCTCTGAATCTCCTCTCTAAAGCAAGGATTGCGCTTAGAACGCGGACGACGGGAGTCGCATGGGAATGGCGGAGATAGGTAGAAGACAACTTCTGCCAATGCACTGGATTTAAGTGGACTGTTTCAAGAGTAAGGGACTCACTCCGGTGTGGATGAGCCACTTATCTGGAATGTGTGAGGTCACAGTGATCGTATAACGCCATATAGACACGGGAGAAGGCCAAATACTTGGCGCTGCCACGTAGACCCGCTCAACCGCATTAGCATCTTCCTATTTGCTCTGAAATGATGTAGGTCACATTTGAGAATCAGAGTTCACATAATCAAATTACGAAAAGAGCAGTTCGCCTTGGTGGGGTCGCCAAAACGAACTGCGTTCTTTTCGTAATTCAACACTTAATAGCGAAACCTGTACAGGCCACCTTGTGACGACCTGTAAAACCATGTAAGCAAACCGGCTCACTTGTATCTTGCATGTCTCTCAAATCCTTTCTGGAGTGGTCTCTCCCATCGAGCCACGTTCTGAAGAAGACGATGCGAGACGAAACAAAAATCTTAGTTTTTCTTTTAGCTAATCGGAGATGATGATGGTACGTTGAGATCGAGTATAGCAGAGGGCAGAGCGATACGAGTAACGTTACGAT